CCCCCAACACTGCTGGTGAGTGTTAATTTTGGACCCTGATTGTACATGTCTATATGTGAGAGAGAATTTATGAATCCTAACTAACATTAATTATTTTTATCTGTCATTTTCTCTCATCCTTCAGCATCCAGAGGTGACCATCGCTCAAAGCCGGGTCTCGTCTTCCAGTGTCAACTCTGTTGACTCCATGTCACACTCTGCCCCCTAGTGGACAAATCGCTGCGGGACTACCGGGGACAAAAGCGAGTGAGTGATAAAGAGAGGAAAGAATAAGAGTGAGGAACTCCTCCTGCCCTTTAAAGACCAGTCGACAGAGCGTGGAAGAGTCCGTTTTCCTTGCCTTGGCCCACACTATCCATCAATGGCCCCGCCGAGAGGACAGGAGACAAAACAAAAGTCCTGTTTAAAGACCTTTATTTATCCGTTTTGTGACAGAAAGGAGAACATTTATTCCTTCACCTCACGCTCCCTCAGGATTGCTGGAACATTAAAGAGCCACTGACAATGACAGAATATTAACTCATATTATTCAGGGGATTTTATTGACAAAGAGAGGCCTCCACAGGGAATGGGAAGGGGGCTTTTTAATTTTTCTTTTGCAAAGGAAAGCTAATATAGTGAACTTAAGAGACTTATGCACACACTCACAAACACACGCACACTCTCGTTTCTTCCTCCATCCCTCTCGTTCTACCTACCCACCCCTTTTATCTTTCCATCTACATGTAACACCTCCAACCTCAACCCAAAATGTGCATTGCCTTGCATACTCTCAGGCCAAAGATAGAGCTTATTACAGGAAGACACGTATTTGAGTAACGTTGCCATGTTTCGCTGCAGAGAGTGATGAAAGGCCTAAAAGCACAAGGAAATAAGGAGCTCATTGGAGCTGTATATTCTTTCCTTCCCGTGTCATCTGCAAATTTTGTGATATCACTGAAAAGCAAACTCAATTTGGCAGCTTCCGCCTATTCCAGTCCACTCTAAAATCTCATCTTCTCCAGTCGCCGGACACTACGTGGTCTGCAAACATAAGCTAAAAGTATCAGTTCCTTTGTGCATAAAGACTGTTGACCGTAGTGAAAGGTGGAGCCATCTCAGTGGGCGTGGTCTTTGGGTAGGTAGCCAATCACAGCACAACAAATCAGTCAGGGAGTTCTTCTCATTTCATCGCATTATTCATAAGTGGCTTATTTACCCGATTTACAGAAAATAAATTATACTTCAGCTTTTCAGAGGCAATTTGGCATTGAATCAGAGGATATTGCTGGACTCTTCAATCTGAGCTACTGTGAGATTTTGAGCTGAATTTGTATCATGGCAGCTCCAAGAGGAGATAGAATTGACCATCTAATAATACATCTACACAGTCAAGCATTTTCACTTTCTAGGACAACAAAGCAGCTTTTTTCCAGATTCGGTGTGTAAACATGCCTTCATTTAATCACATTTCAACCACTAATAGACTGAAACTGGCACCACTTCACTTCAGCCTTTATACACACACACACACACACACACAATACAGCAGACTCATGAAGTTTCATACCTCAGCAGCTGTTTTTTTTCCAATCAGATGCCAACTGGTAGAAAGACATTTCATTTATCTTCCCCAACTGTAAATGTACGCATTTAAAGTGTCCAGGATTTCAGTTGTATAGACATCATGGGAATCCAGAACACACAGCCCTAAAAATACATTCATATCCCGTGCATAGAGAATACATGATAGTTTTGGAGTGTTCAAATGTTTCTTTAAGAAAAATTGATAATTTATAAGTAACAAAACGGAGCGACTCAAGAAGGAATAGAATATGTATCTCAACCTCATAATCTTGCATTTACAATACCATTCCAAGGTTTTTTTTAAGCCTCAGAGTTCAATAGAGAATCTCAAGACAAATCAAGTGTATTAAAATGATGACTTGAAGCTATTTCACGAGTACGTATGCTAAGTGCCATGTAATTTCCAATCATTAAACTGATGTGTGTTTACCAAATTATGCATCAATTATGCCATTAATTTACAGTGCTAGAAATTCCCTCTGAAGGGTTTAAAGTGAAAAAGTGTATACTTAGTGTAGGTTCTAACATTTCAAACTTCTCATCTGATGTGTGTGTAATAACTGGTTATTGCACTGTATTATGACATGTTACATAAATTGCACTGCACACTGCATGGTCAATCAACTATTCATCGAGCGGGACCAATGTGTCTGTTAGAAGGTTAATGGTTTAGGGGTCTGATCTCTGTGTATACTAGTGCCATGCTGTTGTTCACTGTGGTGAGACTTTATACGCCACATACTTGTGATGATTCATGGTCACTTTCAGGTGAAATTTAGAAAAGAATCATGTTAATTAATTTCTCCTATTTTAAAAATTTGTGGCCAATGTTGACAGTTTGTTTGGAAGTACTTTATTTACCATTACAGGGAATATTCTTCACTTTTGCCACATTGTTGCGTATCTAAATTGGGGAATCTTCTAACCACAGTTGGTTAATTGCTATAAAACGTATTAACTTGATGCTCTGGAATCTGAGAGTCGTGTTACTGATTTTACAGTTAATTTGAAGCAGAATTTCCCCCAAGTATGCATTGATAAACTGCATATTATTTGTGTAATAGTTCATTAAGTGTTTCTAGCACTCTATATCATGAATAGGGAGTGATCTAAACTGATATGAAATGCTATATCGGCAAGTAAATGTTGATTTGGTCTATGGAAACAAAGGAAAGGTTTGTCACTTTTTTTTCCTTTTTTCACTTAAACAAAAGGGTTGTAAATTGAAGGCCTGGTGGTTTAAACTTCAAACTTATTGGTTTGTATTTCTACAGTATCCTCTGAACTAATTTAACAGCTGTGAAGTTTAGAAAAATGAACCTTTCCCAGACTAAGAGTTAATGCTTTGCTTATGTATACTTACTGTATGTCCTCCATACGTACAACAATGTGATGAATGAACTGGTGGTGACGTGTGTAATTGCTGCATAAAAGGGAACTTTGCCTTTAAAACAATGACCAAACTAAAAGGGAACTGAAGTGATATTCATTTGGCAAGTAAAAACTGAAATTAGAGACTATGAGGGTTTGAGAACATGGCTCCTTTTGGATTCATTTTTTGTATAGGTCATTAGATAGAAAACCCCAATGAAGTGCCTCCTTTTTAGTAGTCTAGTCCAGGTTAGTGCTCATGATACGGTTTGCACTTTGTGTGTCACTTCAGTCATTCACACAATGTAAACATGCACACGCACAAACATACATACACACACACGTTTTAAAGAGAGGTGTTGTACTACGCTGACTGCATGTGAAGCCAAACCTGACAGTCCTTCTGAATAAAACCTGTGCTGGCCTGAACATAACTGTGTAGTTCTTTTAGAAATGTGAATGTGTTTGTATTATGATAACGTACGTGATTATCATGAGCGATAAATAAACGTAAAAAACTTTGAGTAATAAATGGGAAGGAAAACTGAATTATTTTGGTTTAAATGGTTTTACTTTTTTTAAAAGACTGTCAATTTAACCTTTTAGATTGATGCGATTATAGACTAATTACATTTAATGACTAATTAATATTTCTATTAATTATATAAATTAATAAGTAATTTGGGGGAAAAAAGGGTTACAGTTTATTTTAAGGTGTCATTGTTACAATGTAATTATACATTTAAGTACTAAGTAATAATAATTAACTACATTACAATAGGGTTAGGGTAGGATTAGGATTTGGTTGAGAGGTAGTTGCATGTTATTATGCATAATTTACTGTTATTACTATGGTAAGTTCATGTAACATGGACACTGTAAAATAAAGTGTTACCAAAAAAAGTAATATGTAATTAATTCAGAAGGGTGGTGATGGCGCAGTGGATAAGACACATGCCTTTGGTGTGAGAGACCCGGGTTCGAATCCACTGTGAGACACCAATGTGTCCCTGAGCAAGACACTTAACCCCTAGTTGCTCCAGAGGCGTGCGACCTCTGACATATTGTAAGTCGCTTTGGATAAAAGCGTCAGCTAAATGAATAAATGTAATTAAAGTTTGTAATCCATTGACCGCTATGGTTTGCACCTGTTCCAGCGTCATTGACACAGTCCGTGGCTGTTCCATACCTCCTGATTAGAAGTTTGTCTGATAAAGGTTAAGGCTTAAAGTATAAATTACTCTGAGGGACACAAGGTTGTGGGTTAAGGTGCTTTCACTCATAAAGACACTTTTCCCCCACAAGATATTTCTTCAATGTTCTTGAACAAGTTGATTTTACGTCAAACTGAAACCCACAAGTCATTAAACAAATATTTTCATAGAACTAGGAAAGTTTCCATTGCCGTTGAGTCCAAGGCTGGATCGGCCTTTTATTGTTGTCAGTGATGGAGAATTGATTCGTTGCAGCTTTGATATGGGTTTGTGTAGCACAGCGTGTAATAAGATGTAACCAGGATTTGCAGAATACACCACTGCTTACATCTCTGGTATTATTGAAAGCTAGTCACTTTAAAAGTACACACAAGTTGTTACCCAGGTTTATTTTGGGAAAAGCCACTAATTAGGCCTACCTTCTTTTTTGGGGGGGGGGGGATGGCACCAAGTGATGATGTCATTTTATTTGACCCCTAGGAGTTAGGATGATGATGATTTTGAACATTTTTGGCTGATGATTTGTCATTATAAACTTGTCCTCCTGAGTGTTTCCGGCTTATCATGCTAAAATATATCTGTAGATAAGTAACACTGTTTGTTGTGACTTGAAAAAGACGGACAACATAAGTGTACAAACCAGTGTTCTGTGTGGGTAGTCTTCAGGCACTGGCCGTTATCTGTAACAACGTGTTTATAGTGGTAACAGATAGGCCGTCGTGTTCACTGCACATCCTTGACACACAGGGTCACCCCCGTGCTTTGAGTGATGGTGCTGTTTTATCTGCGAGGTGACGAGAACGCAGCCTTGTCTGACGGGGCTATAAAGGGAGCGAAGCAGGCAGCTGTTCCTCAGATTCCACTTCTAACTCACCGTGCCCACATTTCAAGTGTAGTCATTCATTCATCGGTTAAGAAAATTTTATAATGTTGCCTGCAACGGTCAAACTGTGTGCTGGCATTTCCTACAGGCACGTGAGAAACATGACAGGTAAGAAGTTGTTTCATGTTTTTTTAAAAATATTTTTATAATATGTATTTATTCGAGTTTTTATATATTGTCTTTTTCTTTCACAATCAGGTTTGAGGAGGAATGCATTGATTGCAATTCATCATGAGCTGAAAAAGCTTTCTGGACCTGGACCTAGTGCTTGGATTAACCACGTCCGAAGAAGGAGCTCACTTCTCAGTAAGATAACTTCCTCACAACTTGAACATTTATATTACAGAAATATGGATGCTGTAGACTCCAATAGCTAATAATATTAGCCAATTAAATTCTTAAAATGATTTACTCAGTTATTGTCCTGTTTAATTGTCTGTTCAAAATAATTTAACCAATATTACAGGAGCAGTGTCCTGTTGTTTTGAATATTAGTGAGTGTGATATTGCTTTTGTACAAAAGATATATAAACAAAATTTCAAAATTCAATTTAGACAGCATTTCCAACTATTTATCTATTTTTGCTTCAATCACTTGCTTCAATCACCTTTATTTATATAGCGCTTTTTACAATACAGATTGTATCAAAGCAGCTGCACAGTGATAACATAAAATTAATACAAGTTTGTTTCTAGAAGAAAATTGCATCATCGTCCTCCTGACGTACGGCAGATCAATAATATTGTTGCGTTGTGGTCGTGTCCAGGCGCAGGTTTACCATCTGATCTGGATACGGCCCGGATCCGGCTGACTTCAGTAAACCTCGGAATAAATGGAAAGACTAACATTAGCGTAGATGCCATTCTTCTTATGACGTAACGAGTACATCGGGTGTTTTAGGAAGTGTCCCCGGTTCCAGCTGACCTAATCTATGCAGCCTAATAATCATTTAACTGATTTGAATAATAGAAATGTGTAATGTGAATGCCAGGGACTGTCTTTATGTTCATAATTTTGTTCATATCTTAAATAGTTATGAACAAAGCCACAGTAGAATTGTGCATCTGTGCGCAACACAGTAACGGTATCGTTTTAAATGAATCAGCATTTTGATTGTGTGAATGATTTAATTACTTACTCATAAAGACAATCACTTGTTTTGTTCTTGAACAAATGAGTGTGTTTTAATGAATTGGTTTAGTGAATATAAAGACAGTCCCTGCATCTGAAATTGCATACTTCCCTAAATAGTACAGTAGGTGAAAAAAGCTGTACCCGGATGACCTAATACTTCTGGCAAGATTATGAAGTGTTTATCTGATGGACACTTTACTATCCCATGAGGCCACGCCAGAGTAGATGTGAATTGCAAAGCAACTCAATGGATGTCAGAGGTCACATGACAATGACAACATGGCGGATGTACAATATGTCTGGATTTCATTCATACTACAACCATTAAGAATGTACTTTTTTAACGGTGAAGTAGGTTCTTTATAAAATGTAGAACCTACTCAGGTGAATTCAAGTAAATTGGGACACTTTTTGCTTTTGAGATGACTGGGAAAAATGTCCCAATTTACCTAAATTCACCCCTATGCGATTTTGGACACAGTTACTCACTTGTTTTGTTCTTGAATGATTCAGTGTTATTAACGAATTGGTTGAGTGAATGATTAAATGACTCACTCATAATGACGCGATAATGAGTCTCTGCATCACAATATTACGACTTCCCATATAGTAGGCTAAAAACAGTATTTGACAGTATGAGTCATGTGTTTGAATTAGACCTACTGCCAACAGGATTCCGAAATGCACAAGTGATGGACTCTTACTATCAGTTAGTCACTTATTTGATTCCTAAATAATTCAGTGTTTTTGAACGAATGATTCAGTAACGTATAAAGACACTTCTTGCCACCTACTGGCATAACAATGTAATTTGCAGAAGGGGTGAAACAAAATTCTCCACCATTTTCACCGAAATGCACATTTTCTTCATAAATCTAGTATGTATTTGTTGTTTCTTTATGGAGATGATCATGTATATGTGTGTGTTTCTTTGCACAGGTAGTCGGATTGCAGAAGAGACGTTCAGTGAAGCTGAGCAGTGCTATGTGCAGCAGGGACAGGAAGCTCTGCAGAAGTCTATCAGCATCCTCAGTGACCAGGACGGCTGGCAAACTGAGATTGAGACTGTAATAATAATAATAATCATAATCATTCATTCCGATGAGGCCACGTATAGATGCCTTATATGCATGCATATTTTATTATACAGTTTTATACAGCACTTTGGTGTCCAAGGCCTTTAGAGCTGCAAACCTTTTTTTTTTTTTGCTCATATATACTATAATTATAATAATTAAAACTGTTTTTTTATGTGGGTTTTTCTCTCTCAGGTCAATGGAGATAAGGTGATGAGTAAAGTATTACCAGACATTGGGAAGATTTTTAAGTTGGAAGTGATGCTTGAACAGCAAACAGATGACCTTTATGAGGAGCTGGTGGATAACATGGAACAAATGGGGGAGTGGAACCCCAATGTCAAACAAGTCAAGGTGGGTAGAAATAGATCTACTGACTGCCAGATTCCTATGCTGCAGGCCTGTGTGCATTTTCAGTCACTGCACTTTTGAAGGACTGCCTATCTTCTCAGATCTTACTCACAGACCTCCATCACAATGTAACAAAACATACAGCTACGGTTGCTTGGAGATATTTGGTATTTAATACAGTTTTGGTCCCTCTCAGATTCTTCAGAAGATCGGTCAGGATACTATGATCACACATGAGGTTTCAGGTGAAACACCTGGAAATGTGGTCGGCCCACGAGATTTTGTAAGTGTCCGCTGTGCCAAGCGCAGGGGATCTACATGCTTCCTGGCCGGAATGTCCACTCAGCACCCTGGAATGCCTGAGAAGAAAGGGTTTGTAAGGTAAGTGAAAATTTTAACCAAATTTTCCCCATCAAAAACTAAAAATTCAAACCTCTTGCAATGTATTAAATTAATTCTTATTTTCTAAGGGCTGAGAATGGACCTACATGTATTGTGATGCGACCAAGTGCAGATGATCCCAATAAGACAAAGTTTACCTGGTTGCTCAGTTTAGACCTTAAGGTAAGCCAATTGCCCTCTCGGTTAAAAGGGGAAGTGAAGTATGCAATTTCTTGGATGTTAAATAGCCTACTTTCTCTTATTCCAGATTAATATGTATAAGCAAGCCATTGCTAGGCTGATTCCCCTAAAAAGTTGCACTGTTGGTGCAATCAAAACATTGCTCTGTTTTTGATTCGACCAATAGCATGCGTTTGAGGCGGCAACCAATAGGGGGAGTCTTCAGGAAACTTGTTAGAAAATTATTTAAAGTTACTTTTTCAGTTTTATTTGGTGTTTCTAGTGGCTTTAAAAATGACACAGTTTACCTTTGAAGCAGCTGTGAATTTAAATGATAATTGATAGTTAATGCTTTAAATGGTTTTTAATAAGGAAGATCTACAAAAGTAAAGTCACTCTCAATGTAGTATCAAACTATGCTTCCAAATAAGCTTAAGTGTTCTAATGTATGGTTTGTCCCTGCTCTGCAGGGATGGATCCCGAAAACTGTCATCAACCGGGTACTTTCGCAAACCCAGGTGGATTTCGCAAATCACCTCAGGCACAGAATGGCATCCAATGGTAGTGTGGAAGCAGCCATTGCCTGCTGATGTCCACATTTATACCCTAAAAACATAGATGTCACAACAAAGGCAGATTCTTTTCAGAGTCAAGCTCCTCCCACCCAAAGTTGTCACCCCCATTCAAGCCTACACTTGTGGGCCTAAACATTTCACACAGATACAGAAGTTAAATTGTCCATCGAAGCAATATGCTGCTCTTTGTTCAAGCCACACAATTTAAAATGTATTCACATTGCATGCACAGAACTGACCCAAAACATTTATGCTGTAGGTTGCTGGGTCATTGTAATGGAGGTTTAGTAAGTTTCGATTTCAACCTGGTAAACTCAGTTGACTTCCTCCATCACCTCCATTTTGTGGCTTTAACTTCCTTTTATTCACTCACATACTTCTGCAGAACACCACTGACTATCAATTTATGGGTTTATTAGTTCATGTTTTATCATTGTTTGTGTAAAAGAAGTATTTATTTTAAGTTAATATTATTGCATAACCCTGGAAAAGGATGTCTGCTAAATGAATATTTAATAAACCTATTAAAATGACAAACTACAATATCAGTCTTTTTTGTTCATGGTTGTATCAGAAGAGGAGTAAAAATTATGACTGAAGCCTCATTTTGCAGACTGAGTAAGAAAATACAGGAAGTAGCTTCATCAACATACTTTGGCAAGCCACTCAGCCAGTTACATAAGCAAAATGCCCATTAGCGTCTCAGCGATGTTCAAGCAAATTGCCCCCGGAAAGGGTATGTGACTCGTATTACAGCCAGAATATTCAGTCCATAAAAATGTCTTGTCGTCTGGACTGAATTAGCATGAGCTTGCCAAAGCAAGGAGGTGTTTGGTCATTCACATGTGTTTTAGGAACTTCTCGGCTCCTTGAAGGTCTGTTTGAGCCAACATTGCACATAGCAGGAAATGAGGTCAACACTGATGTCCTGGCCAAAGGCAGGCCACATTTGCCTTTCTAATGTTTTTCATTTTTTTCCGATGCAGTTGGCCATTTCTGATTATATTAAATCAATTTCAAAGCAAAAGTTGTGTAAATGACCCCTCTGCATTCACGGTGTTGGGAGATTTCTGAAAGACACATGTTGAATATGTTGTTTATATGCCTATGTGGTGTTTATAATATGCTTTGAGACAAACCATGTGCAAATTCATAAGTCAACACCATTGCTAAGTATTTTCTCCTTAAAACTGCAGTGAACCAAACAAAGACAATCTCAAAAACGGGGTTTGAAATCGCTGGTGTTCACAAACCATGTAACCAATCACATCACCGTGTGATCATCAACGAGTGGAGTGAGTGGAGGCGGGGCTAATTTGCATATCCATAGAACCATGTACGCTAAATGAGGCAATGGGTGCATATTCAAGCTATTTTAAGGCATGAAGAAAAATGTTCAAAGTAAAAAACGCTTAAATATGTCATTTTGGTGATCAAAGATGAGTTTTAAGGGATACAATTATTGACAGGGGGACTTTAAATTAGTAAGTTATTATTAGTATTTGTTATCCAGGCGTGATCAGAACACTTTTGGTTCCACTAACACCCTTATGATCTTAGACCTTGTACATACAAGCTCAGTTAAACCCAAAATGATTTATGCAAATTTTATTTCAACTTAAAAGTAATTTATAAGTCTGGCTGCATTACACTATGCTGGTACTAATAAATGGTAAATGGACTGCATTTATATAGCGCTTTCACAGACCCAATGGCCACCAAAGCGCTTTACATTTTGCCTCACAATCACCCATTCACTCACTCATTCATACACCGACGGCAGTGTCAGCCATGCAAGGCGCCATTCAGCTCGTCGGGAGCAGCTGGGGTTAGGTGTCTTGCTCATGGACACCTCGACACTTGGTCAGGTGGGCATTGAACCACCAACCTTCCGGTTTGTAGACAACCTACATGAACCACTGAGCCACTGCCGCCCCAATAAATGGGTAGTTGTATGAAAATTTTATTTATTACTTCCTTCTTTATTACTAATTTTGAAAAGAATTGTTCACTTCAAAATGAAAATTCTGTCATCATTCTGTTATCAGTTGTTTTCAAACCTGTATGAATTTCTTTCTTCTGCTGAACACAATGGAAGATATATTTCTGCACTTTCCTGCAGAGATTTCTTCCAACCCTGACCAAACTCACATGCCTGCTTTCTGGTAATCCTGAAGACCTTGATAAGCTTGTTTAGGTGTGTTTGATTAGTGTTGAAGCTAAGCTCTGCAGGAAAGTGGATCTTGAGGGCCAAAGTGGGCCCTGTTACAGAGCTAGACATAAACTTGGGTACGACATGTAGGTAGACTGTAGACTTGACACCTATTGAATCGTAGGCTACGACACAAGTTGGAATAAAATGTTATCAGCCTGCGCTATAGTGTTAAATAGAGCAAGTGTTAACTTGTGGCAAGTGTTTTAAGTGCGCTGAAAAAAACAGGAGGAAGCGAAAGAGGAGAATGTGGACAAGGTCATAGCTAGAGAAAAGAGGCCAACTTGGCATGCCAATTTTGCTAATGGAGCTTGAGGTAAGTAGTTTTAAGTTTTAGCGCCATGTCGCGTTGATCAATACGCCGTTTCATGGTGTGTTTATTGGCTAGACAGTAGACTAGTCAATGGCAATGAATGAGGAATTGTCCATGATTTGTTTTCTGTAAAATATTTTTTGTGGCATGATATACATGTTTGCCAAAGGTTGTTAATTAACTTAAAAGGTTATGTGAGGTATAAAGGTTTACTTGTGATAAGAATGTAGAAAATGGATTGTAAATATGCACTTGAACCTATATGACAAATATATAAACGTCCTTATTTGTTGTATTATGGTAATGTCATAGAAATTAAATGACATGGTGTATTGGAATTGTATGGTACATTTTTTTGTAAAACTTTTTTGGTGACCTTGATGGAATTAAATGTATAGCTTTTGCCTACAGTTTTGGATCTTTTTTTCTGCCTTCATTCCATCTGGTTTGCATCTACTCACTGGATGTTAGCTGCACTTTTGTATCTGATTGAATCTTAGTTATTTATTAGCCTATACTTAATTATACTAGAATCCTTTCAGATTAAGTAGCTGACTGCTGTCTCTTTGAAACAAAACGAAACAAACAAAGAAACAAAAAAGAAACAAAAGCGTGGATTCTTGATGTTTTGCTATTCGAATAGCTTTAGGAACTTCTCTGTTACTTGAAGGACTGTTGAGCCGAAAGCATTTAAGCATAAACTATGCCATTATTTACTATTGTTGTTATTGTGAAAATACACATATATTCCATATATAATTTTTAAAAAAATATCATAAAATGGCATATACATAAATTAAAAATATTATTTTATATATTTTTAGATTAAGCACTGTAGTCACTGTTTTTGCTGAAATACTGTAAAAAAAAGAAAACGAACTTTACTCCTACAGCACCGGAAGTCTATTTACAGTAGAAGAACCACAATTCCCACAAAGCGTCGGGGTTTTCAGTTACTGTGGAAAGGGGGAAGGGAAGCAGAGATTGGAGGGAGAGAAACTGAGGTAAAAATAAAACGAATATTTAATACCTATCATTCTAGCAAGGGTATAATTGCGTAATTAGCAGCTAAGAAAGACAACGCTACATTGTTTCCACGTTTTGGTGTACATTGTCTCGTAAAAGACTAATTTTAGGCAAGTTAGCTAAGCTAGAAGCGAGAGTACAAAAAGATTGAGGCAGTTTAACGTTAGCTCGAGCAGGTTCGCGAGACAGACGCTTTACCAGTCACTCACTGAAATGTGACAGTAAATAACAATTTTTTAAACTGAAATAAGTAACGGTAGGTTTTGAGTGCTGAGGTAAATGTGAGTGTTTCGTGTTGCTCATTTAACTTGAAGAGAATGAGGAGGGGGCTGAAATTACCGTTATTTGTGGCTGAAATAGCCTAACGTTAACTGTTATGCGAGTAAGTTGGTCAATTTTTTTGTTGGTCTTTATCATTATTAGCCGTCTGATAAATCTTTCATGTTCAATGTATGTTGCTAGATTAGTGATTGCTGAAGTAAAAATACGTGTAAAGTAATACCGTCATGTATCTTTATAATGGTTATGGTATCTTTTGTAAAGGTGTTTGACAGTTCACTGGATGCTGTCATACATTCATGCTGTGCCGCATTTGGAACTGATGCATCATATCTGATGTCGCTGATATCCAAATTAGCGTTAATGATCGATTAATACTTTGGCTTTTGAGTTGTCTGTCGTTCATGTTTATTATAATGTTTAGTTAGTTCAGGTTTTGTGAGTCAGGATATAGATGACGTCACCCCTCATCAGTTTAATTTTATGAATGCAATATATTCAGTTATCCGCCATATAAAGCCTGTCTGCACATTAAAGTCATTGCAAAACGAAAAGAACCGTTTGAAATTTCACCTGTGGTAATTGTTGATCGTATTACTTATTCGATTTCATAGGGATGCAGGTTTGATACGATGACGTCATCCCGTTTGGATGCCTATTTTCTGTGCAGCGCTCCTTTACATTGTTCTATAATGAAAACTGGAGAGTGTATCATGCCTTTATATTTTGCACACGGTGATATTTGCCTTGCATGTACCTTTTGAAATATGTTATATATTATACAATTTGCACATTCTAATATTTATTATTGTATCCTACAGAGACTGTTGCTGACATCAGAAGGCCACAGGGAGGATTCTGAAGAGACCCTTAGTAACCCTCCAATCCATCGTTAAACTCCCTTTTTAGCGACACATCCCCATAATAAGCCTTCAATCCTCCAAGTAGAATTCATCAACACAGGCACTGTCAAAAACAGCTTCATCACTGCTGTACCCAATCAATGTCTGATTTCTGCTCCTTTTGCAACACTCCAGTTTCACATAAGTGGACCTATAACAAGCCTAACGTTCACCTATTAACGTTCCACAGACCCGGTACAATTAGCACTTGACAGACTTGAGAAATCCATCTCCAACAAGGCCATCACGATTCACAACTCGCTGCACAGTCCCACTAGAACGAAACCTTAGTCCTGTTACTACTGAAATTATGCTTCTGCTCCTTGGCCCAACTCTGTTTCTACCAGCCCCTCTTTGAATCTCAAGAAGTGGCACGGTTAAACAATGCACTACTGAAAGCTCTTCTGCTGTTTCAGTCTTAATCTACGCTTGTAGGACAAGGAGCAGGTGCTTCTGAAAGCGTTAAAAGTGCTCTAGAACCATGTGTGTCCAGTGGGCAGTGTTTACAATTGGCCTAGTCCACAGGATGGGTGGACAGTAGGGGGACAGCGAGACAGTGGACTCATGTCATGGAAGGGGTTCTTGCAATCGCAGTACATACAGAGGTATGTATGACATCCTTACCTAGAGTACTACAAGCCACTACACTACACTATACTTCCACAGGTAAAAAAATAAATATCAATTCAGATCTGTTTAATATTTCAGCTGTTAGTATTAGACAGCAAAATATATATTTCTCATTAGAAAAAGGCCCATTTGTCTCCTCTAGAGTTGGGTTCCCAAAGGTTTTGTCAGCAGGACTTCTTAGATGTAAAATGTTTACTTAATATAGATTTTAATTTAATATTTCAACAATTTTACAACACAAATGCATGTTCATGGTTAATGGTCACATGACATTTAAACATAAAATATATTTTTTAGTAAGTGTTTTATTTTGATTGTTTTTTATTTTAAATATTTTATTTTAATTTTATTTTAAAAATTGTTTAGCTGGTTCTTTGCATCCACATCATGCATTAAAATCGTGCTCAGCTAGCCATAAATTATCCCGCTTATCATTTACGTCATTTACGAGCATTGACAAGTTAAAGATGTGTTAAATTTGATGGCAAGGGTTAAAATGACAGTTATTTTCATCAGCTACGACTTGTTAGATCTAGCATTCTGCCGGCTTTAAATCAGACAAATAAAGTAGTGCGGTAAGGTTACATTTGTTTGATTGAATTATAACATTTATTTGAATTAATTAGCCTATCAAGAGAGAGAAAGAGAGATGTGTGTGAATTACCTGTGTCTGTGCAGTGTCTCTAGTATTAACTAGTGTTAGTTTTGTCAGCTATTCTTAGTCCTTAAATTTACTTTTTAGTTTTTATCATATTTAGTCAACCTTGTCCTGTTTTTGTTTGGTGATGTTTTAGCCGACTAACCCCTGGTTTCACAGACAAGGCTTAAACCTAGTCCCAGACTAAACGCATGTTTGAGCTGTTTTAAATGAAAGCAATTTGCACTGGCATATCTTAAAATATGTCAGTGCCATTGTTTTGTTTTAAGCTGCACACCAGTTATGTTTTTTTCTAAGGCATGTTTATAAAAGCTACCTTTATGTCCTAATTGAACTAAGGCCTAAATCTGGCTTAATCTAAGCCCTGTCTGTGACACCAGGCCTAAATGTCTGGGATTTTTAGTCTAGTTTTAGTCAGTGAAAACTTTTCACATTTTCGTCATGCTGCATAATGGTTAAATAACATCGATAATAACAATTATTTTGCTCAAAATTATAATCACAATGTCATTTGAGAAATTTATTTTTACATTTCATCAGAATTATTGCACTTTCACCTATAAGCACAAATCAAGAGATAAAAACATAAACGTTCCACCGAGAAACTTTTTGTTCTGGTTTCTTGAGGGAATGTAAAACATTTTACGAGCGAACACAAAATATTTGCGAGAGAACAAACAGATAGATACTGGCTCTGTATTGTTTACAATATTATCGGATCTGTTGTGTTAACATGAAATCAATATTTATTCCTTTAAATAATATGGTTATATTTTTAATACCAGTATATTTTGACATCTCTTATCTGGACTGCTAATTTTATACAGTTTATTTGGGAATAAGGAATTTTTTAATTTTATTAATTTATTTTTTATTTTTATACAGTTTATTTGGTTTACTAATGAATTTTCGGAGAAACATCTGAGTCAAAGATCATTAAAGGAAACTGAGAACTGAAATAAAACATAAGTCCATTTAGTCTGCTAATCTATGAAAAAGCCGAACTATACTGTACTATACCAGCTCAGGACTGATTTTGTAATATTGGGGCATGCATATACACAGATGTCCAGTTGATGCTGCATTTAAAATTTCTTAACAGGTGATGCATACCATCATTTACACCTCCTCTCTATTTTACTCTGGGAGCAGACAATACAGAGGGAATTTCACAACATGGAAACTACACTGACTAGGGAGATTATATATTGTAAATTGTTCAAATGTAATCGTAATTGCATTTGTAAAGTGCTCATAATTTAGACTTTATCAGTGCAGCTTCAAATGGACATTGCGATTCCTTTTAAAATGTTCAATTGGAAATACTTTAATAGAATTCATTTCAGACATACTTACATTTTAAATGTAGTTGAATTTCAAACATTTGTGGCAGCTTTTCAGAATAATTTGGGGAAAGGAATAATATTATCAATACATATTTTTTGTTAACACTTTACAATAAGGTTCATTAGTTAACATTAGTTAATGTATTAACTAACATGAACTAACTATGAGCAATACATTTGTTACAATATTTATTATACAAATACAAATTTCACAGTGCATTAACTAATGTTAACAAATATAACCTTTGATTTTAATAATGTATTAGTAAAGGTTGAAATTAATATTAACTAATACATTTCCTAATAAATGCTTTAGAAGTATTGTTCATTCTTAGTTCATGTTAACTAAGGTAGTTAACTAAAGTTAACTAATGAACCTTATTGTAAAGCGTTACTGATTTTAATTTTTTTTAAATCCTTTTAGGGCTTGAATGGTTTTCCACAAGAATGTAAACAGACAGAGGACCTAACCAATGGGCACTCCAAATGCACAACTGTGAGAACACACTGCTAAAATTTGTTCAGTGAAACCAGGTCTTGTCACTATCTGCATGGATCACGGTTGCTTTCTGTTGCTGTGCTTTGTATTTTTTTTTAGATCCTAAATGGATTGTCTCCAGGTAATTGCATCAAAGAGAATGGCAACTTGAATGGCAACCCTTATCTCAAAACTGTCCCTGTGAGTATTTCACTTAAACATAGTCACATGATGTTACTGGTTTAAATAGCAATGGTAACGGTGTGAACTTGTGGTTGTGTAGATCTCAGCACTAAAACAGAATGGACTCTTACAGTCTCTGGCAGCAGGAGGCAATCAGACTAAAACAGAAGGTAAAGACTTCATCACTCAGAAACATTTTACACACAGAATGATGTCAGTAGTTCAACAACATCCTTTACTCTATATGTGTGTGTGATTTTTGTCTTTCTAGAGGTGAGCTTGGAGGTGGAGCGAGCACAAGAGGAGTGGGATGCCCTGGAGAGCATCCAACCAGGTGAGACCAATTACCTTGTCACCATGGAAACAACGTCCTGTCAGCCTGGATACTGAGCACATTACGTCACCATGACTAAGCATACGCCCCTATCCTGGAGAGATGGCATCACTTCCTTGGCTAAAATAGATACATTACGAAACCTGATCACTGTCAGATACAATCTGGAGCATTAGCATCTCTTGGTGAGATATGTGTGGACAACAAATGGGCAATGATTTTACAGCACAATAACTATATTTAGACATAGGAGTGGGTGATATGACCAAAATCTTTTCATGACATGAGAAATTTTAATATAATTTTAGCAAAATATCTGTCCCCTGACAGATCTCAGTAAATAAGGTGTCATGAAATATCAGACTTGTTTAGGCTCTGTAAACTGAACCATTAAAGAAACTCTCAAAATGTGACCGAGACTCTTTAAGCCAATCTAAAGACCTTTAGCTAAGTTTAAGTGGAGTTTGTATGTTAGGTGATTTAGAATGAATTAATAATTAAAAAGTTTGATACTTGGAGTTAAAGGTTTAGAAGAAACCAATACGGGGGTGCCTTTCAAACACTGTAATAGCTGGGTTTCAGTCACGTGATTATGATGACGCGCGAAATTCAGATGGAGGGCAGGGGAGTGAAGAGCGCAATGGACGAGATGGAGGAAAGTCCGTACTGTACTACTTTACACGCTATTACAAGAGAAAGATATAAACAAAAAATCAAACATATGTTGGACGTGATCCTTACGTTATGAAGAGAAGCGATTTTCAACTGAATTGAAAGATTTTCCTGCCATCGAGGTGGTAGATATCAGCAACTACCTCGTCTTACAGACATACTTTGACTTTACAAAGTTCGTAAATGTTACACGTTACACAAACATAGCCACTTAAGTTGTATTAACTCACCATTGACGAAGTGATCACTGCACAAACGGGCATTTTCCCATTCGGCTCCTCCCGACCGCAGACGTAGGTTTGCAAGCCGTTTTTCGGTCAATTTCTTGCATTTCCCCCCTTTATGAACAACAACTTTTGGTACACGATAAAAACTCCTCGTGGTTTGATCGATTTAAGTAACCATAAACAACGCAAAACATAGGCATTTTGAGTTTGTTATAGTGCTTTCTAAATACAGCAAATCACTTCCTGCCCTCCATTTGCATTTCGCGCCATGGCAACGCAGTGGCGTGACGTCATATGAAAACAAGCTATTGAAGGACCATTTACTGTTCCCAGATCCAGTGATCCGACTTGCTGTCTAATCCCGACATATGGAACCTCATAAGTGACTGTTCAAACTACTGTTCAAAATTATGGGATCAGCTTTTTTTTTAAGAGATGTTTTATGGTGTCCAAAAAAATATTAAGTAGCACAACTGTTTTCAACATTGATAATAATAAGAAATATTTTTTTAAAGCATCAAATCAGCATATTAGAATGATTTCTGAAGGATCATGTGACACTGAAGACTAGGGGTTGAATGACTTCGCCTCTCGTTTCCCCCTGTACACTGCACGACAAATGACGCATGACAGAGCTTTCAGCCCGACTCAAAAAAGAGTTGCACAAGTCAGAATTTGGCTTAAAATCAGACAAAAATCGCACAGGGTATGCCCAGCTTAAGTCAAGTCAAGTCAAGTCAAATATATTTATATAGCGCTTTTCACAATACAGATTGTATCAAAGCTGCTTCACAGTATCAATCAAAACAACTTAACAGTGTTTGTTTATTACTGGAAAAAGACATCCAAGTTTGGTAGAGCTGATCAGTGGTATGATGGGTCATTTAATTTGAATATCCTTAAGACACAGTCTGTACATAGAGGCTGTTTATACAACAGGCCGAAAGTCTGGATAAAATGGAAAAAAGAAAACCGTAAAAATATTTGTGTTTCCAGACTATTGCCCCTATTCTACTTTCTAAAATATAAAGTAGAAGAATTATAAAATTATAGGAATTTCTTAAATTATTGTCATATATGCAGTGTGTTTTCATGATGTTTGAAGCAGGCAGTCAGTGCAGCCAAAAGTTTTGAGATTTTTTTTTAACATGACAATGAATTTAAGGTGCATGTTTTCATTGCTCAAAACTGTTCATCTTTATCATAAGTATCTTTTCATCTTCGCTAAATGAATGAGCGTGTGACTCCCCATCTCTCAAACCAGCAACAGATAAAGGGAGCGTGCTATTATTTATATAAAAATGTACTTTGCTGTTTGTTGATCGTGCAATATGTTTATAGTATCACACCGATACTATCAAACCGTTTTAGGTTTTTCTCATCAATTTTATAATATAACAAATTTATATTATACTGGATAGGATATTTTCTAAATAAATGTATTCAGTGACAATAAAATTAATTTTATGTTTTAAAACTTTTAAGTTTAAAATGTATTCAAAACTTATAATATAAATTCAAAATATTTTAAATGTATGCGATAAATGCGATATTTTTTATAATCCACATTTCTCTTTGTTCACCCTCCATCTTGGAATTCTTTTTTTGTGATTTTGCTTTATGCATTCTGATTTTCTAGACTGAACCATGTTTATGATGGAGGGATGCATTGTGTGGTCATCTGTCAGAAAAAAAACAATGTGTCTTTTATAGTTCTTGCTGAGGATCTCACTCCATCACCACTGATCTCCTTCAATGAGGCTCTGCAGCATTTTCAGACCACTGATCTTGGAGACTTGCTTGTGAGTTTGTTTTAAGTGAATATGCATTATGACACTATGATTGTCATGACTATCAGGGTTCATATGCGACCATTTTTTGAGAATGTGCGAGTTAAAATTTTATGTGGTCGCATTTGTGCGAGCGCATGGTCATGTACTCAGTTAAATTCACCATGCGCAACAGAACGCCGTTGTATCAGCAGCTGCTGCAGTCCGTATGTTCAACATGAACGAGTACATCATGAATCCATTTTCCAAACCGTGTTTTTGACTTATCCTGAATCACTACGGTACGCCTATAATAAGTGTTTATATTCTGACTATTTTATCCCGGGGTCGGCTCGGCTGCGGAGTTGCCCAGTGCCTGCGTGACTCGCCATAGACATTAACGGAGAGAAGTAGCTCCGGCTACAATGTTCTTCCGCAAGACACTTGCAGTTTATTTATTAACGAACGTGCACACTGATGGTGAAACGCGCCAATTAAGTCATAATAATTGTAAGTTAAATGTACAGTGTACGACATGTAAAAAAGACAAGAGGCTAACAATGTCAAGATCAATATTTGTGTAGCCTGACACGGTGTTTTCACACTGCATCCGTTCCAGGAGCGGTGCGTATCAGTGCAGAGATCGTTTACACACCGAGTCTATTTTTGCTGTGCTGCACGTGCTGTGTTATGAAAAGTGACAGCGCATAGTTCGTGGTCAAAAGGAGCACAAATTGACATGACAATGAATTTCATCATAAATGCATTTAATTAAATAAAATGTAGTAATCTCACCATAAATGCATTTAATTAAATACTACTATTTTTCACAGTCATCTTTTTACTTTTAACTTTTTAATAGTCTTTTTGAGAATATTTTGATTTGATAGTTAAAAGATTAAAACATTTTGCTAACATGAGATCTTGTGTCACTGTCAGTCTTTTTACATCAGTGCAAAACTATGGTATGGAGATTAAGACCACTATTCATCAGCATGCATTGATTAATCCCATGGCATGTAAAAAAAAAATGTTTAAAAAAAAAGGTGCGACCAAATCATATGCTGGTGCGACCAACTGAGAAAGTTGGTAGCACCAGTGCAACCAGTGGAAAAGTTAGTCTGGAGCCCTGACTATTGAGACCATTCTCTTTCTTTTTATTTTATTTTATACTTGCTCTTCTCCTCTATCAGAAGAATATTCAGCCCACCATTCACAGGACTGGATTGGCTGCCATCACCCATTTCCTGTTCGGACCTCCACGGCTACACAAAGACCTTTTAGAAGAGAGAGACTTAGTGTTTGCCATCGCACAATGTGAGTAGAACATATGACTTGACAATGGATAATTTGTAGGACTGTCAAAATTATTGTGTTAATGCATGCAATTTAATTGTATTTAGTTTAACGCGTTAAAAATATTTAACGTAATTAACACAGCAATTTTTCCATCAATCATTGGCTAGCGTTAAGGTGATGAAACACAGGGCAGCTTTTTGAGCAATGTTGCTGGGCAATCTTGCCGAGCGATTGTTGCTTGGGTACTTTCCCATTGAAAATGGGCAATACATTCCTATCTGGATAATTTAGATCGGTCGTGTGTCTCATCTGGTTGCCCGTTGATGGCAACATTGCCCAGCAACATTGCTCAAAAAGTTGCCCTGTGAATCATCACCTTTACAGTATATGATCACGCTCTTGTTCATGTAAATACTTTTAAACCATTCAAGCGTGATAAGACACAAAAAAGAATGCAGTGCAGTACTGGCAGTATATTTGAATCTCCCAGCCTAATACACCTGCTGCTGTAATGTCTGTCATTAAAGTTAATCAAACTAAAATTAGTTAAATCAGCTAAAGAATCAGTTAAAGAGGTGGTGAAAGGCATTTTCAGATCTTTTCTGAAGAATTTTGCAGAGAGCACACTTCCTTGATTTAATTACAAATGTTGAGGGGCATGTAGAGGAAAATCGTGACATTATGACCGAGGCGATTTCAAATCCTGTCATTTCAGAAAGGTGGAAAACAAAAATTCATATTTGAAAATGGGGAGTTTGCTTTGAGTTATAAAACTCTTGAGTGTTTTTTTTTTTTTTTTTTTTTTTTTAGAGTACCCTTTTATAAATGTAAATATAAAGGACATTTTTTATTTTCTATTTTACAACCTATTTTAAGTTGTTTAGATGGCTACCTGAGTTACTGATTAAATCAGGGATGCGTAGAATTGGATTTTTTGGGCGATACCAATATCCATTTTAACAAAAAACTATTGGCCGATACCGACATTTATCACTTCCTTACTTATTTGAACTTTTGTCATTAAAATATATCACGGTTTTGATCATGTTTTAAATTAGCAAACTTCAAAAACACATGCATTAAAGTATGTATTAATTAATTTCATTGAATATGGATTAGATCCATTTAACATTCAACAGGCCTACACAAATACAATAGTACAAAGATGAAATAACAGTGCTTTCATGTTGGTCTAACAGTAGTTTTCAGGTACAGAAATTGAATAAAGTAAATAAATGTAAAACAACACAGCATATTCACTTTGTAAATTAAATGTATATTAAATATATATTAAAGTTGCAAAAGTTATTTAAACAAGAGCCAGTGATCAATTTCCTTTGTCTTTTGTTGTTTGATTAACATTAAAAACAGACAGCATTACAGCAGTGATATATTATAAGTTGCTTTCACTTTAAGACCCAATGCATGGATACTGTAAACACATGTTCACTTAAGGCATAACTGACTATTTACTAGGATACTTGCCAAGACAGTCATTTTGAGATAATTTTGTGAACTGGTACATTCAAGTGCAAGAAGACATGAAAGATAACTAAATTCAGTGGCTTTCTGGGTGCAAACCTTCTCACACAGCATTCAAGTACCAAATTGAGTTCTCTTTCGTGTCTTCTTACGCTTGAATATTTAAATTGGCAAAGCTTAAAAACATGTGCAAATGATCAACTTTTGTGACGATGCAGCGCTGGCCCTATCTTTGTTCATGCTGGCCCTGGGCAGTTCTTATCGTCGAGCCCTGCTATATTTTGTACCGATTTTGTTTGGGCGAGCATTACATTTTTTACCCAGAGAAGAACATTGGATTATGCAACAAACATTAAACAACTCTGTGCTTTCATGCAGTTAATTTATAAACTGTCAGTTTATTTTTGTCATGCCTTTTTCATGCTGTTGGCAATATAAAATTGATCAAAAATGGGCAGATAAATATTTGTAGCCTATACATTGATGCAACTCTAGCTTAAATGTCTTACAAGTGTGATGTTTTAGCAGACGCTTTTATTCCAAGAGATTTGCAAAAGAGGAATTAAAGCAATTTGTCAAAAAGCCAAAAATATTTGTAGTATACAATGCCAGGTTTATTAGACAACTAGATTAGGAAGCAGGCTAGTGAAGAGGAGAAATGCAGAGAGAAATGTTTGTGATTCTGTAGGTTCTCTGGATAATGGACAGTCAGTGCACATGCGTGTACTCCAGACCGTCTACAGGAAATTGACTTGCACTCGAGGAGACTGCCCTCGCTATGGACCACACTGGGAGAATGTGGGCTTTCAAGGTACGTCAAAAATTTAAGGCACCTGTGTTAAAAAAATCAAGATAAACTGTTTAACCACAATCATCGACTATTTAATTATTCATGATCCCGTACAATAGAAGTCACCTGTTTGTAAACTTTGTATTTGTGTGACACTTTCATACTCATAGGTTCAGACCCTGCTACAGATCTAAGGGGAACTGGTTTTCTGGGTCTGATGCACATTCTCTACTTCGTCATGGACCCAGAGATACTACCACTTGCTAGAGACATCTACAAACTCTCTCAGCATCCAGTCCAGGTGATGCAAAACACAAAGAAACATACTCTTCTTCACGTATCATGCCTTAAAAACTACAAACGTATCGTTATCATTCAATTATTATAAAAATACTATAATTTTTAACACCTGCAGAATTTTCCGTTCAGTGTGATGTCAATCAACATGACCCGAATCGCTCTCCATGCTCTTAGAGAGGAAGTGCTGTCCAAGTAAGTCGTCATTTGTCACAAGATTACATGAACATTAACTGATGGTTATTTTGAGTAATATTAATTACGTGTTTTTTAAAGCTTTGAAATCATCAGGGTGTGTTTGTGCTGTAGCTTAACATAACCTCTTCAGTTGTTTTCGTGGCAATAAAACATTTTGTTGCTTTGTCATGTCACCTAGGGAGTGTAACCGAAGGCAACAGGTTGTAGCTGTGCTGAATGATTTTTATGTTGCAACATTCCTGCACCTCTACCAGCTGTGGAAGAACCAGCAGAAAACTATCTCGGATTCTGGCCATGTACTCAAAGGTGACCTTTCAGTTACAAATTAACAGCGTAGTATTTGTTCTTGGTATTGTTTACTGACATTCAGCAGAGATTTTAATTAACACGGTGTCATTTGCTTTATATCATTTGAAGGGGCCATAATTTACTTATATTTTTCCCCATATAGTCCATTTATGATAGTAAAGGTTTGCTCCAAAAACATGTTTAACTCTCACTGACCCTTGTTACTGTGACTTTAAGAGTTTTACGTGTATATTGCCCTTTGTAGTTTAGAGAGTAGTCTGGAGAGCCACTTTCCTGCTGAGTTTTGCTCCAACACCTGCCTGGATGTTTTCAGTGATCCTGAAGACCATAATTAGCTGGTTTAGGTGTGTTTAATTAGGACTAGGACTAAATTCTGATGAAAGGTGGCCCTCCAGGAGCAGGATTGAACACCTTTGGTCAAGGTAGCCTGGATGCTGAACATTTAAGTTTATCTACTTTAAAAAAAAAAAAGAAAAGAAAAAGTCTGACCATGTCTCTGTCTGTTCTGTGATGCACAGAAGTGGAGCTTTTTGCTAAGAAGAACCCCAAGCAGATTCTCAGACGTCTCGAGGGCTACCTGAAGGAGCGACGTGCTGGGACAGGACACCGGACATCACCAGACACACTATCACATAGCAACCCTTCGCCTTGTGACACTGGGTCTCAAGCAGGGAGTCAAGGCGGGAAGGAGGGGAAAGAGATCAATTTCATCGGAGTGTGTGAGCTGCCACCTGAAATGGAGGGAGAGGCGAGACTAATCTGAGAGACATAGAGGCATTTGATTTGTACAGTCTCGACTATCTCTCATGCTCTATCTTGGTCTTTCTCTGTTTCTTTGTTTCCTTTCTGTCCTTTCTTGCTTAAGTACACTCAGAAACAAGTCTATGTTGTAACTGTAGTTGCTATAAAACTCTTTACTGTCTTCTGTTCTCTTATAGTACATATTGGCTCTTTAATGCTTTCTATGAAAAATACCAGTAGATTTAGTTGCCAACTATCAGTTTAAAAGGAGAATCTTAGAATGACCTGCCTCAGTGGCAGCAGGTTGTCTTGAACCTGTCAGGAACTTACAGGCCTCATTGGTGTGCAGTTGCAGAGTGGCCTGCAGAAGCAAGCACCTTACCCACGACTGTGGTATTGAGTGAGAAAGACTTCCTGTGTGAAGGCCTGACTATTAGGCATGTGTTTGATTGAGTGAAAGCCTTGTCCTCATGGTCATTTGAACATGTTCACTGTGACCGAGTCAATGTTCAAGAAAGTTGGCAGAGTTTATATTGATGTTGAAGAAGAAGTTGTTTTATTTAAATAGCGAATATAATCAAATGTTGGCTCTTTACTCCTCACTGTTGAATTTTTTGTTTTCCATTTAAATCCCTTTAGAGAGATAAATGTCACAATATGATTCAGAGATTTTCTGGCATGTTTCTGTTGGCAGGAACTCTTCAACAAGAGCCTGAAATGGTAAAGTCAGGACATCTTTTTGATGGGAAAGTGCATTTTAGTGACCTGTAGACCAAAATGTATGAATGTGTGAGTATCTATTTTGCAGTTCCGTTACAGAGCTAACAAAAACCCTTGCAGACTGATCACTATTAACAGAATTGTCCTTATCAGCTAAATTCTCTTTGCGCTTTGAGCTACAATTAGGACAGTATTCAAAGTTGAATGTGATATTTGGAGGTGTTATGCTTGTCTGCATGAAGCAAAAGCCTACATGCTTCTAGCAGGCCAGGTACATTCCTGTTTTAAGTAGTCATAACGTGTCTGTGAACATGTGGACGAGAGTGAGGATGATCCCATGGCAAATAACTTGTGCTGGGTCATTTCTAGGATCCCGGACGAGCCCCCAATTTATGTTGTCAATCCCTGTTATGCCAGAAATAATCCTAAAAAAGTTGTTATCGGTTACTTATGACATTTCTCATGCGGTACAGCTTTCTCAATCTGTCTACTAGCTTGTCCTGAGAGAATAGATGGTGTGTTTTTAAACTGTTTGACAGTTATTAAATTGTTACAGCACTTTTAGCAATGAAAGTGCATAAACAAGGCTTAATAGGGCTACTCGTGTCTATAAAACATGGCTTTAAAAAAAAACATTAGCCAGGAAGCTGCAGGTCATTTAAGCTGTATGTTATACGTAAGCTAACGATTATTTCCTTCAGAGTTGCATGAGACGTGTCGAAAACTTCAATATCTAAAAGTGAATCACTCTATTGAACTTCTTGCATCTAACAAACAGCATTCAAGTAGACATGTGAGACCTGTCTATAGTATAGTAAAGGACACCGTGAGAATTGTTGATTTAAACACGAAAAAAGTAGAATACTTTATTTACTGTTGTTGAGCCACTTCAAGTTAGTGCAGAACATAGTTGAGAATTTGATGTATTTTTGTAATTTGCGTCTTGTTCTCCTTAGTCCAGGTCCATTAAAGATGTGAGGGTTACAACAGTCATGTAAATTAACAGTGATGTACTGTACATTTTGGAAAAAAAACTTGATGGGGAAAGTCTTTCCTCCCTTTGCAACCCTATCCTGCACTCTCGTCTTGTAAGCATGTCAGGTAGCGCTAGAGATGTAGCATCCAGGAATAGTTGTTTTAAATTCCTTGTTAAAAAAGCTTGTTAATCTAACTTGGTATGGTTGCATATGTTTGTCTAAGTTACCTAGTCCAAAGTGTTGTTATACGATATGAGTACAGTGCGTTCTGTATGTTTCAGGTTTATTTGTTACGCTCTTAGTTTATTATTGTGTAGTTTTTTTTTTCCCTTAAACGACACATGAATATAAATACTCAGTGGATGTATATTAGAAGTCCTGTCACTTTAGCCAGTTTAATTTTATATAAAGCAGAGTAGTATTTTATAAACTTGAATAAGAGCAAAAGCATGATGGGAAAAGATTGTTTATATACAAAGGCAAATCACCCTTTCCTGGGTTATTTAATATAGTCTGGCTGGTTTGTATTAGTTTATATAAGCAGGTTCAACACTTTCATAATCCTATATATCCGAGTGAATTCAGTGCTGTTGTTAACTCCACGGCAAGCATTGTATTTCAATCCCAATGATTTGTTTTCCACACTGACCTGCTGAAAGCAAGAGTGAATTTTATGATGTTGCGTAATAGTATGTCAGCTAATTTCAGTTTCAAGCGGTTAAGAGGAGACACAAATATTGTCAAGTGAGAGTATTGGCCAAAAAACGATGGAAAGCCCATGTACATTTCCTTCTGTTTTAGGATATTTCAAGCTGTCATGTGCAGTTACTAGCCGGTTACTACTCCTCAAAAGTGTGCTTCTATCTTGCATACTACATTGCTCAAAACTCCTTATGAACAATCAAACCTGCAGATGATCATGCTATGAGCCTGGTTTGGCACCTTTTCTTGTATATGTCCGCACAATTAGTTGTTTAGTCGTTGTTTTGCTGTAATTTATTTTTTTTAAAAGGAGAGGGTGGTCTGTATGTGAGATGACTATAATGTATATGTCTTCTTTTCTTCTTCTTTAGCGTTTATCCTGCATAGAAGAAAAGAAGATATACATATATAAATATATATATATATAATATATAACAAAATTATATGATTGTAACATTATGATTGTTACCGGGGCATATTATGCATACCTCAGGCTTCAGACAAATCTCTTCTGGGCAGACATTTTATTGAGGACAGCCATGATCCCATGTCGTAGCACAAAATGGTGTGGTGTCTCTTGCAGTAATCTACCTAGCTTGAGAATGTACTGTATGTATATGTATGTACACTAATGCAGCACTGCAAAATATTGACTTCTACAGTATATATTTCTATAGCCCATGTTTGTGAAAACGGTAGTCTTACACGCTGAAACGCAACTGAACCTTTGCTGGAGGATGTTTTTAACAATCTTAATGGTTTGACGTCGAAACAAATCAGACGATTTTGTGGCCTTTGGTATTTACTGTGCTTTTGTGAATGGTTTTTTGCAGCGTTACAATATGTCAAAAACGATTCACTCTACTATGGCACAATGTAACAATATTTGTTTGGACCAAAAGGAACATTTGTGGGTTTGAAGCTGGTTTGGAGGTCAAGCTCTTTTAATGAGAAATCTTGCCGTCCTAAATGTTAGAATCTCTCCTAAATGTTAGATTTCTTCCCAGTGTGTTTTAGATGAAAGCATTCCACAATACTTCATCTATCTGGTCCACTGAGATGACATTTATTTGTTGAGAAGATACAAACCCAAATGTCCAATTTGATTCATTTAGTTGCCCTGAATCAAATTAAAGTAAGTCCAAAATATCCTGCACTTAATTTAAAGATGCATCATTATTGTCTGTTATGATCCTTCAGAGCATTTTATTATATCTGAACCTTGATTGTAGAATCCCTATTTTATAATGAAAATATATTTCAGAATATATGCGGTGGTACAGTGATGTATCTTATGAAGAGTAATAAATAAATGCAACTTTAAAAACAATGTTAAATTGTGTTACATCGTAATTCCTTACATGTGCTTTTGTTTAAACCAAATGGAAAATAAATGTCTCTATCATCATAGTTATCGTTCTTGCATTGTAATAGTGTCTATTGACCATTAGGGGTCAGTCTACTGTAATGGCTGATGCAGTCTGAATACTAGCATATGCTTTCCTGCACTGAATGTTTTCTCATCTCTTTATGAATAGCAACTGTGGTTTCCATCAGGAATTACTTTTATCTTTGTTGCTTTATAAAGTTTCAAATGTCTGGTTATCCACAATACACAGGAATTACATCGAGTTATATATAGTGTAAATGATGAACATGTTGTAGACTCAGAGAATGTCATCTTGTTTCTATCTAGGAGACCCACATGAAATCTGTGCTGCAGAACTCTTACTCTACAGGAAGCTCCACAGATTTGATGGAAATGCTATTATTTCCATTGAATAACAATCAACACAGCTTTTTATTTATCTCTATATATAATTTCTTCATATACTAATAGATTGCATTGCAAGTTAACATGTTAAATGAACATGAATTGTTCTTTTTTTAATTAATTATAATGAACACTGAACAAAAGTATATTGAAAAATGACAATTGCCGTATATTAAGTTTTCTAAAAAGAATTGATCATATCTAATTCATTAATATTAACAAAGTGAACCTTGCAAAGTGTTATAATTTGGTGCTTATGCCTTTAATAGTTTGTTAGCATAGTATTTTTTTTATTTTTTAAATACACTATTTTGAAGTGCTTTTCTCCTTAATATGGTAATCCAGAAATATTCGTTATGGGACTGTTTTTCCTGCATACAAAGAACTACACACAGCTCCTTTGAGGATTTTGGCCTACATTTCCCTGGCTGACACATCAGAACATCAAATCCAAACCTGCTGTGGATCTGATGCTGTCCCTCTTTCCCTTAGTCAGGGTAACAGATCCAGACTGCTCTCTCAGGGCTCAATTTAGAGAGACCGGTGATTCTTCCAGGAATTTCTCAATCAAGGAGGACAAACATCTGGCCTGGTTTGTTGAGAGCCAAAGAATAAAGAAAAAGGCACATCCTAAGAGGAAAGGACAAAAACAAATTATCCAATAAATCGTTGTTTCAAATGTATCCTCGACATTTATTATAATTATTGGCTTTTACATCTCCTTTAGTTCCAGAATAGTCCTGGCTGATATCTGAATCTGGCTAGGCTGAGGAGCCGCTCTCTACTGGAAATGCTTATGCCAGATGACATCCTGTCTGGATGAAGGACACAAATGATGGCCAAGGAGTTTGTGTTTATAGACACATGCTTGGAACAGAGAACAGCACTGTTGTATGTGTCTCCGTTCTAGTACTTAGAAGGAAAGCTTTCACTTTTAAAAGCATAATTCACCATTTTAACTAGTAAAGGGGGAGATTAAAAAGGAAAAGTCTGCAGGTTATGTTGGGAGTCTGCA